GGGGAGTGGTGTACAACACAGAGAAGACAAGTAGTGTCTTGTTCTACAGGACATCTTACTACGCTGATGGACAGTCACTGTAAGGGGTTTGTGGGGGGCACTTCGTGAAGGGGGGACCCTAGTAAACAATGTTCTTCATGTAACTGTAGATTAATGAAAGCAAAATAAAAAATAAAAAAGTCAAGTTCCCATCCCTCCCATTCCTTAAAAACAAGGGTTGTTACCCTCACTGACCTGCTTGCAGCCATGCACTCAGCACCTTTCCTGCCACAAAAACAGCCAGACCATCTCCCTCCTCCCAAGTCGGCAGACATTTCCAAGCAGGTCAGCTAGTCCATGACAAGGAAAGGGGAGGTTCCCCTGCATTTTCTCTTCCCTCCCAGAATGGCAGGAGCTCTGACTGGAAAACAGGCTGCATTCCGCACAGCTGTGATGGGATTTGAATAGCAACGTGGGCACAGCCAGAAGCTGAAGCTCAAACATTTAAGAAACTCAGCATTTCGGTTCCTTTGGGTACTAAGGGGGTGAAGACAGAAAACAATGAAGATGGTGGAGATGAGGAAGAATCCAGGGACAGTTGAAAGCCATAGTACTGGAAAGGAAGGAGGACAAAGGTGCTGGATTTTACTAAGAGAAGAAAAGAGACTGAGTTCAGGTGTCTCACCAGTCAGTTTATAGTATTGCATTTTGATTACAGGTGTATCAATAGAAAACTTTTTGAGTATTGCCCTCTGGTAAAAATGCACAACCAAATTCTTATTAGATTAAAACAGTAGGCTGGGGACAAAACTGAATCATATATTACCTGGGAGGGCGAGAGCTGGATGAGAGAGAGGAATCACCAGCTCAGGAAACCCAAGACTCAGCGAATCCTCCAGACAGAAAGGCCAGGGTCTGAGTGGCACTTCCCCAAGCAGTCTCCCCCACGGATGTGCTCTGGGGAAGCCCCGTCCCACAAGGCACAGCGGGTAACTGCTTCCCCATCTTCCGCAGACTTCACCGAGTGGAACCATAAACCAGTGGCACCAGGCCGTGGTTCCTGTGCTTCAGGTAAACCAAAGTCCCCAAATAAAAAAAAAGAGTTGGGGGAAATCAAACCAGAATTTTTCCCGTGGCCATTAAAGAGAAATTTAGCAATTGTTGCCTTTGTCCATGGCCCTGAGAAGATGCCCGAGGGACACAGCTCCATGAGGCTGTGGCTGGGCAGGAGGGCAGGCATGGTGCTTCCTGCACACCTGCCCGCAGCCCACCTCCTGTGCCCATGGGCCTGGGGGCTCAGTGATGCCCACCTCCTGTCTGCCTAGCGCAGGAACCTTGATTGGGCAAGCAGGACCGGCCGAGGGAAGCACGGGGAGAGCAGGGGTGGTGAGCTCTGCAGACCAGCCGGCACCACACATGATGCCCCCCTCAGGATCTGGCCTCTCCCACAGAGGGAGGCTGCCCGAAATCAAACCAGGAGCTCCATCACACAGAAGGTCCTTTCCTGTAAAGCATCCTTTAGAATTCACTCAGGGTACTACCCAGATGGGCAGTCTGACCACAGAGGATCTGTCCACTCCTCAACCTGGACTCAAGTGTCTGGGCAGGAAACCTCACTGTCCACGGCTCACCCATGATCCCTCCTGCAGCGGGAATTTGGGTGGCAGGTGGGGAGGCAAGATGGGAGGATCTTTCTTCCCTAGGCTGTTTGGACGGTGCCACAGCACAGCCACGATGACGGAAAGCTGCTTGAGCCAACACATCCCTGACCTGAGACGGGAGCCGCTCAGCCTCTTCCTGACCCACAGCTGCCCAGGGATCACCCTGAGGAGGGCCGCCGTGCTGGAGCGGTCCCCTTCCCCAGCCCTCAGATCCCAGCACTGCTCATTGTCTGGGAGAGAATCTGGCCTGGCCCTGGAGCATCTCTAACTTCCAGATGGCGCTGGATTCACATCTTGAGGAGACGGGAGCCAAGAAAAGCTCAGGCTTGGCAGCCTCGTTCTCTGTCCTTCGCCCAAGAGTCACAAAAAAATGTATGGTCTCACAGCAGGCACAGATCTTATTTCTTTTAAAAAATAAATATTTATAAACTTAGGGATGAAGATTCAAAGAGAGTATCTTTCCCTCCAAAAGCACAAATGTCTCACGTGAGTCAAACCAAGGTCACATCCACCAACCCACAAACGGAAGACCACCCCAGAGCCCTGCTGTGAGGGGCAGGGAAGCTCTCTGGCTCCGAGCCCCTTAGTCTCCCTTGGTGATCAAGTCTTCTATGTAGGCATCCAGCTCGTCATCTGTGTTGATGTCTATGTCCTGGAACAGAGAGGACAAGGTCAGCTAGGGGCCAAGGGCAGTGGGAGGCCCACCTCCCCACCCTTCTCGCAGCCCATGGCTAAGCCTGGGGTCCCCTCCTCTCCCTGCTCCCCACTAGCTATCAGGCCTGCCCATCGTGCTTATCTCCCGCCCCCCACCGCACAGATGATGCCCAGATTTCTTGCTCCTGCTCTGCCTCCACTGCAGGTTCCTGGTCACTGCACATGAGCTGCCGGCTCCTCAGACTCAGTGCACCCCACCCCCCCAAGCTCCGCTGCACCCCGACCCAGGCTGTTCCCATCTCAGTACAGGCCACCACCTGCTCTGCACCCAGGCGCTCAAGACACACCAGAGAATCCCCCTCGTTTCCTCCCCTTCCCTCAGATATTCCTAATCTGCCCAGTGTTCCCCCTCCTCACGGTCACCATCCAAGGCTCAGAACATCACAATCTCTCACGCAGACGACTGTGGCAACCTCCTCACTCAAGTCCCGTGCTCTGGCCTCCACCCCCTCCAGGCCCTCTGATAAGCCACCAGAGTAAACGCCTCAGATTGCATACTGGATTGTGCCAACCCCCTCCAGAGACTTCCCACCTGCAAACAGGCCCTGCCCCTTCTCCTGCTGCCCGTAGCCCCTGCCCTGAGCCTCAGGTCCTGCTCGTCCCTCTGCTCAAAGCACTCACACCTGCTCTTGCATGGCTGGTTCTGCTCTCAGCTCAAATTCCACCTCAGAGAGGCCATCCCTGAACACCCTAGTAAAGTGGCCTCCCCATTTTCCATCTCTCATCATTTACTTCACAGCACTTCCTGCCATTAATAATTCTGCGTCCTCTACCAGACTGCTGGGGGCTGGGAGAACAGGGACCTTATCTTGCTTGTGTGGTTCACCCAGTATCCACAGGACAGGCACAGAGCTGGTCCTCAGTGTTTACCAACTGGATGAAAGACTGAGACCCTACAGGGCACTCCCTGCCTCTGGGCTCCCCAATCCCACCTGGCCGTCATCTGGAAAAGCAAGAACTTCTTTTTGTTTTATGGCTTGGTTGGAGGACTCACAAACAAGGTTGTACATCAGAACATCTAAACAAGGGCAAAAGTCTGATACCGTGGGTCTGGCTGGGATGAGACCCAGGCAGCCGCACCACCTCCAGCCCTCCTGGTCAGGATGCTGCGCAGCCAGGGTTGGAACCACAGATGCCTGTGAGTGGGGAGAAGGGAGCAGGAGGTGCCCAGGCCTCGCTCCCTGAGACACCAGGTGGTCTAGCTGCAATGAGAGGGCTGTCCAGCTCACCTCCTGCACCTTTTGCAGGAGCGCCACGATGTTGGTCCTTAGCTTCTGCAGCTTCTCCTCTGTCTCTCGGAGCTTTCTCTCTGAGGTGCGCAGGCTCTCCTCAGAGGCCTTGGCCCGCGAGTCAGCGCGGCTCTGGTAGGAATGGCACAGATTCTGAAGTCCCACTTCATACTGCCTGAAGTACTCTTTCTGCAGGAAGAAAGGCCGGAGGGTGATTGCATGAGCTCAGGGTCCCCAGGACCCTTCAGATGGGCACTGGTGTCCCCAAGGGGCTCACAAAGATGCTCGGACTGAAGGGATGTCAAACACAAGGGGCAGGCGGGCTCTCTTGCACCAGAGGAGGAAGACCCTGATGCCCATCTCGTGGGGCTGCCACAAGGATGAAGACAGGGTGACAGGGTCACATGCGGTAAGCACTCAGCAAATGCCCTGGCAGACAGCAAGCTGTGAGTAAGCAAGAGGATTCTTACCCTTCCAAGCTGGCACAAGGGGGACAAGTCACCCTCCCTGCTCAATCACGCCATGCTAACTACCCTGTCAGCAGCCCACTTCCAGGTCCACAATGTCAGGACCAAGAGTTCTCTTCCAGAAATATTTACCAAGCACCTGCCCCACAGTACCTCCCGATTTACGTGGTATGTTAATGCAGCACTGGAGGCTTTATATCTTCCCCAAGTACCTGAAACTTCTAAGTTGTGGAGTGGTGGTGTTAACTAGCAGCTTTTCTAGACTGGAGGCTTTTCAAACTTTTAAAAGGTAGCAGACCCCTTGTTTCAAAGCATGTTACATAGGATCTCAGTGAAAAACTGATTTAAAGAGCATCTCTTTATTTTAAAGTTCACATTTATAACATGATTTACCCAAATATCACCAATGAGAATGGGAAAGCCGTCTTGAACACGAACCGACAACCAGCAGGTCCTGACCTGCAGTGTCACCAAATGATTACTGTAGCCTTACCAGCTCTAGCGTTTAGTGTTTATTTACTTCTGTAAAAATGTAGGTGATCCCAGCACTAAGCAGCTCCTGACTGCTGCCTTTAAGAAGTGTTACTGGCAAGTATTTAACTGTGGTTCACCTTACAATCCGGAATATTACCCTATTAAAACCAAGATGGCAAGAGGACTTCAAGCTCACAAAAAAATAATTATCTGGGCAGCAGAAAATAAATATTTGAACAGGCTCCAAAGTATTAAAATTCAACATATAACATCCTGAGCCTGTGATTTATATTCGAATGACCGTTTACAGACAAGGACATAATGAACACCAGACTCAGTTGCACCCCTGGTATTAAGACATCGAAGTTGGAGTCATTTTAGACATCACGAGTAGGAAGCTATAAAGTCAGCACGCTGGTGGGATGAACTCCCTTTACGAGCGTGAGGTGATCCACGTTCAGGCTCAGACGCTCCTGATGACTGTGCTGGCCTGAGCAGTCATGCCCACCCTGAGATCCCACTCACCCAGGCTTTGCTCTTAGTGTGGCAAGAACTTGAAGCCAAAAGCAACGTATCTGACAAGAGGATGTCGGCCCCCTCGCTGGCCTATCAGCCCTTGCTCCTGGGATCTGCAAAGACCACCTGCAGCCTCAACAAGGGCCCAGTGGAGGCGGGGAGCCCAGTGAGGCCGTCGTGAGCTCAGCCGCCCTCCAGCTTCCTCGGCGTGTGGCCATCTCTCCCCTCCCTTCTCCTCTCCTCTCCAGGGAGGCAAGATGGTATGGTGAGAGGAGCAAGACCCTTGCCGTAAAAAGCACTGAGTTCAAATGTGACTCGACTAAAACAGACTCTTCACCTCCCTGAGCCTTAGGTTTCTTCAACTCCTGGCTTCACGTCCCTCTTTTTAAAACGTAAAATGGAGATGAAACCCGGTATTTTTCTCTCCGGCACACTCTCATCAAGCACACAGCTACCACACAGGGCCCCTCCTTCTGAACATACCAGGCCTGCAGTTCTGATTCTCATTCTCATCTCCAGACTCTCCTCCTTCCCTAAGAACATCCCACTCAATGTGGGTGACCCCCAGACTCCCATCTGCAGCCCCGGCCTTCCCACCCTCAAAGTGCCTGTCCCTGGTCTCCACCTGCCTGAGGGACATCACCAGCAACACAGCGCCGGTCCTCCAAGCCCGGCACCATCAAACACAGCTCATCTTCCCTTTCCTCACATCTCTGCTCTGTTAATAGCTTTGTCACCAACCCACAGGCCTGGGATGTGGCCTCTGCCTCCTCCCCAGTCCCTTGCCTTCAGTCAGTGACCTCTGACATGGCCCTTCCCCCACTGTTCCTTTCCCACCACTCTGGCTCTCATTCCTATTCCCTCATCTCCAGCCTTTTACAACTGGACTGGCCTCCTGCCCCGTCCAGTCTCCCCTCTACCCATCCTACCTAAACACGCTGCCCAAACACCCAGAGGTATTCTCTAAGGGGCAGGGGCAGCAGACCACTGCCCACAGGCCACATTAGCCTGCCACTTATTATTTTTTTTTTTTGAGAGGACATCTCTCATATTTATTGATCATATGGTCGTTAACAACAATAAAATTCTATATAGGGGACTCAATACACGATCATTAATCAACCCCAAGCCTAATTCTCGTCAGTCTCCAATCTTCTGAAGCATAACGAACAAGTTCTTACATGGTGAACAAGTTCTTACAGAGTGAATAAATTCTTACATGGTGAACAGTACAAGGGCATTCATCACAGAAACTTTCGGTTTTGATCATGCAATATGACCTATAAACCATCAGGTCAAATATGAATATTCATTTGATTTTTGTACTTGATTTATATGTTGATCCCACATTTCTCCTATTATTATTATTATTTTTATTTTTAATAAAATGCTGAAGTGGTAGGTAGATGCAAGATAAAGGTAGAAAACATAGTTTAGTGCTGTAAAAGGGCAAATGTAGATGATCAGATGATCAGGTGTGTGCCTATGGACTGAGTATTAATCCAGGCTAGACAAGGGCAGCAAGACATCCACGGATGCAGAAGATTTCTCTCAAAGCAGGGGGGGTGAGGTTCTGAGCCTCACCTCTGTTGATCCCCAAATTCTCACCTGATGGCCCCCCTGCGACTGTGCCTGTCTTAGGTTGTTCCTCCCTTGAGGAATCTTACCCGTCTCTGGCTAACCAGTCATCTTCCGGGGCCATACAGGGAAATGTAAAGTTGGTAAGTGAGAGAGAAGCCATATTGTGTGCAAAGGTTAGCTTTTTACTTCTTTGCAGATTTATGCCCTGTGGCTTCTATGCCCAGCATTTGTCTTGAGGTATCTTTACCACTTGGAAGAATTATGATACTCGGTAAATTCGATATGAGGCACGAATTCTACTTAGGGGTTGTAATTATGAAGGAAGAAGAGAAGCTATAGAAGTAGCATATGGTAGAAAACATGGGAAGATTGATTATTTCTTTGACATATCTTCTTGTAGTGTAACATAAGCGTGTATAGGTTTTAAATTACTAATTAAATTGCGTGCACACATTAACATAACAGGAATACAGCTACATAACCAAAGCAGACCTACAATTACCAGCCATCTCCAGTGAAACCAAGAAAACCAGTTAGGCACCCTAAGCCTGCCACTTACTTTTGCAATTAAAGCTTTGCTGGAGTACAGCCACATCCCTCCCTTCACATATGGTCTGTGATGGCTTTCATGTTAGAGCAGTGGAACTGAGTGACCCACAAAGGCGGAAGGGTCCACAAAGCTGAAGGTATTTGATAATTGGCACTGCACAGAAAGTTTCTTGACCCCTGCCCCAGACATGGCTCAGACTGACAATTCCCTCAGCTCAAACCTCTTGCTTGGCTCTTCTTTTCATACAGAGTTTAAGCCACTGTACCTAAGTATAGACTCTCAGGATGCATCCTCTCCTGGCTCTCAGGCCCCTTCTCTACATGCACACCACACAGCCTGCTGCCTTGACCCCTGTCCTGTCACCCCTCTGCGCCTTAGCTCACAGAAGTCCCCCTGTCACTTACACAGGCTGGTGGCACCCACATCATCTTCAAACTGATTTGCTCTCTCCCACCCCCACGCTGCCACAGCCCACTGTCCACTTCCATGGCACTTATACCTGGTAAAAAGAAACCCTCAGTCTCTACGGAATCGTAAGCTGCTTGGTGGCAGGACTCTGCAGGTCCAGCAGAGGGCCTGCTCAGGGGTGGCGCCACATCGGCATTTGCTGGGTTAAATGAGAGCCAGTGTGACCTGCATGCAGCATGGGCTTCTCTCTACCTCCCTCTGACAGTAAAGTTGTAGGCACTTTAAGCCTAAGCTCTTCACTGTTGCCCAGGACAGGCTTACTCCCTCTGGCAGAGTCGAGGAAAAGGGACATACTGGTCATAAAATGTCAAACCAGGGCTGCTGCCCCTGAGTAAGGACTCAGTCCCAACATCTTATGGTGGGAGGGCTGGTTCTCTGCACACCAGTCACGGCCAGCTAAGCCACCTCTTTTTCCACACTGCAGTCTCTTCTTCCCTTCCCTCAGCAGAAGAAAGGGGAGCCGGCTGAGGGGCACAAACAGTTGCAAGCTGGCCATCATAACTAGCACCAAGAGGGGATGCCAAGCAAAAAACGGAAGGTCAGGCCAGACTCACCAGAGGAAATGATATTAGCTCATCTGAATTCATAGCACTCAGCTCCTTCTTGGAGACTGGAAAACTTGGAGGCAGGAAGTAACGTAAACAATTCCTAAACAAGAAAGAATGGGTAACGAATTCAGAACAGCACAGAGTGGGTAGACAGCCAACGCTGGCCCAGAGCATGAAGACACACGCACCGGAGGATCTGGACGAGCAGGTCAACGGTCTCGTGGCTGGTGCTCGGGGCAGTGGTGTCAGGCTCAATGCGGATGCAGTCAGAAGTGGAGGGCTCTGCCATGGCTACAGCCTGCAGGGCCACCACAGCCTCATCCTCCTCCTCCGCCCCCTCCTGCTGTGTGTCGGGGCTCTGATACTCCGGGGAAGGCGGTTTCATCAGCCTCACATCCTCGCTGCCTTTCTCCACCCTGGGAAAGACAAAGTGCTCATCATGTGTCTCTTGGGCTGCTGGGGTGGGCTACCTGCAGCAGGCCTGGGGATAGGCCTCCCCTGGCCTGGCCAACTATTAACCTCTTGGAAGGGACATTACCAGCGGTCTCTCGGTGTGGTGTCTGTGGGTACGTAGTCAAACTTCACCTTCCATCGCACCACATGCTTGCCCACCTCCACAGCTGTGACACGGCCTGTGTACCACTCTCTGTTCACACGCACCTCCACGTGCAGCCCTTTATCTGAGAGAACAGAGATGGGGTGGGAGTCAAAAAACTAGACTACAGAGGTCCCCACTCAGCTAGAGCCATGTTGAGAAAGGTAGTCCCACGGTTTGCAGGGACCTAGGTGCTGGCCCATACTGCACAGCCATGGAGTCCAGCCTCTTTGGTCTCCTCCCCAATCTGCCACAAGGCTGCCAACGAGCAGCAAGATGAGTGACTGCCAGAGGTGAATGCCAAGGAATTGGTGCTAAAAATACACACGAGGTGTGCTATCTTCAGCATTCTTCTCCAGATGACACTTGGAACCACTGCTGCATGAGAGCCCAGAGCTAGGAAATTCTCTGTGAACCTTCAGGATAAGCTGTCACTGGCCAAGAAGCCCTACTTCCCACTTGCCACATGGGCTCCCCGAGCTCACCTTTCTGAGCCCTTTTGAAGCCAGCTGGGTCCTCTTCCCCAGCACTGTCTGAGAGCTGCAAGAAGAACAGTCTGTTAGAAGCATCCCCCAGGTCTCTGAAAAGCAAACTTCTGCAAGACTGGCCACCCACGGTCATCAGCTGTCACATGTCATCTTACATGGCTATTTAAACCACTATTGCCTCACTGGCAGCCACTATCATCTTAGGTATCTAACCTTCTGACACTTTTATAAACAAGACAGTAGGTAAGGAGCAGAATGTCAGAGACTCAAGTAAGCAAAGAGTTTCAAGCCTTCATGATCTGTATCAGTGCCGCCCCCAGGCCTATGATTAGAGTCAGAAGCCAGTCTCACCCAGGATCCTACCTGGCACCATGTTTCTAGTCATCTGTGTGACTAGGAGTCCCTCAAAGATGAACTGGGCTTCCGGAAGGCTCATGTCACAGAACACAAATGGAGCTGGGCCCGACTGCAGGTGGTGGGTGGAGACCCTGGGGTGGGAGACTCAAGAGCCTCCCCTAGATCACCCACCTCACTGAAGTCCTTCTTTTCCTCCTTCACAGCAAATTTTCCTTGCTTGGACCTCTCCTTCCTCCTGTCAGCTTCTTCCTCAGCTTCTTCCTCATCAGAGACCCCAAGAGTCCGCTTCCGAGCAGGACTGGCCTACAGCAAGAGGAGAGGGAATGTGAGGGTCCTTACTGGCCTTTGAGGTGCAAAAGATTCGTGTGACCTGAAGGAGTTGTTCAGAGAGCGGCTGGATTGTGTCTCAGTGCCCGCCAGGGCAGTACACAGCTTCTGGCTCCTGTACCCAGGAGGACCTTTGCTCAAAGCCACCATGGGGAAAGCTTCTCAGTTCGCTTACCCCTTAGCTTGCCTGGCCGGTCAGCTGTGACCTCCCCAAAACACATCAACTACTGCCGCAGCCCACGTGGGCTGCCTGTCACCAGCTGCCAACCCACACGCACGGCATGAGAAGCTGGTGAGGGCGCTAAGTCTGTGGCAGACCAAAACTTGGAGGGAGCAGTAAAGAGCTCCCTGGACATGGACCTAAGTTGCTTTGTGTCGCCACCAAGTCCCTTCAACTATTTAGAATCTTCCTCCTCAGGAGCAATGGGAAGCTTTAGATTTGGTCATGTCTACCACAGCATCCCCAGGATAGCTCTGACACTGCCTGATTCCATTCTGATACCAAGGGTGGGCTCGGAGATGGCAGAGAAGCATCTCACCAAGGAGAGTTTACTGGGTGGCTCAGGCTTCTTGACCACATGAGTCTTGATTGCTCTGGGAGCAGGGATCTCCCGAGGGCTCCTGGAGTTGGGCAGCAGAGATGGCAAGAACGGCTGCAGCAGAGGAGTGGGCCGGGGTGAGGTCTTGACTGGAGTGTTAGCAGCAGGCTTTCGGGGTGCCTCCGGTGGCTGGAGTAACCTGGACGTACTGGCCTCCTCCCGTGCTGCCAAGGCAGGAGGCTTTGAGGCACTGCTAATGACAGGAGCATTTCGGGGCTGGCAGGTTGGCCTGGAAGCTTGAAGAGAAGGGGGTCTACTCGGGGCATTCTTGATCACAGCAGGTAAAGGAGGTGACCGAGGACGCTGAGGTCTATGTACAGGTTCCTAAAAGAAGCCCAGGGAAAGTGAGAACACTGACCTACCCCTAAGGACAAGCTCCTCCCCTACCCCTGGGCTTTACCTCAGTGGAAGGTCTGGCAGTTACTTCCAAGGGCAATTTCTTCAGGTCAGCTTGGGAGCGGATGGGAGTGGTTTTCTGCAGGGCAAACACGATAATAAGGTTAACTGCATATCTCAGTACAGTCAAGCAAACTCTCTTTGGATCCTCATTATGTGTCTGGGACGGTGAGCAAATAAAAAAGTAAACTTGGACCACAGTCCTAATATTTGTAAGCTCCCATTCTCACTGGGGAGGTAAAAAATAGACACTAACCATCAGCAAGCTACAGGATTCTATGCGATTAATCTAGCCACTGAGAGGCCAGGAAATGTGCAATGGACTAAATTCTAAAGAGGAAGCCTAAAAAAAAAAGAAAAGGCCTGATGGAAGAGGCCAGAAAGGACAAGTGGGATTTAGCAGCCTAGGAGGCAAGCATAAGATGTCCAGGTTGGTGAGGGCATCTGCACAGACACAAAGGCCAGGAAGGGCAAGACTCCTGTAATAAATACGGAAAGGGGCTAATACCAAAAGTATGTCGTTAAAAAATACCTGACAGATCAGTCAAGAAAAAAAAGCCATAGAAATCTAAGAGTAGCAATTCTAAAAGAAACAGACACATGAAAAAGTGTCCACTTTTACAAATATGAAATAAATTCAAATTTTAAGACATGTATCTTTGCCTATCAAATATTTAAAAATAAATGTACTGCTGGTAAAAACCAAACTAATTCATGTTCTGAAGGATAATTTGGAAATAATTAGAAAAAAACAAAATTTTACAAACTCTTTTATTCCTTCAAATTCACTTCTTGAAAATTTTCCCAAGAAAATAATTATGCACCAAAATATGTGTGACACATATGTATCATGATCTCCATATTCCTATTAAAAAATATGTAGGCATTTACATGTATGTGGGCAGTTGTAAGAAGCTGGAAGGCTATGTAGTTAATGGTGGTTACCTCTAAGGTAGGATATTTATTTTCTGGAGTTTCAAAATATTCTAAATGAACTTTATCACATTGTAATAAACAATAGTCTGCTTCTGTTAAGGAATAATCAAGGCATACCCAAGAACCAGTGTACCTGGGGGGCAAAACTGACCCTGAGGGAACAGGGGAGTCACTAAGAGTTCCTGTCCCATCCCAGACAGACGCCGACACAGGCTGGCTCTGCTCACTATCCGTGGCCTACAAACCTGCAGGGCCTCTAGCTTCTCCTGCTGCTGACGAATTTTCTCTGTCAGTTGCTTTTGCTTCTCTTCCTGTGTCTTCAGGTCCTTTCTGAATGTCCCCAGGGGAACCTTCTGCTTCTGTTCAGAAGCCTCACACCTGTAAAGAGAAGGTACTAGGGAGGCCATGGCAAAATGGGGTTCCAGGCAGGGCAGGGTCCTTCCTCTTCAGCCAAGCCTTGCTGTCTCTCACCAGAGCAAGCACCTTAAAGTTCCCAGATGCAAAGAATACTCATCGAAGGGCAGACAACTATTCTTATTTTCAGGGCACTTATTACATGCAGCAAGACAGATGTAAGGGCATGAGCACTGACCTCAAGAAGAAGAGTGAGTTATTTAGGAAAAGAGACCTCAAGAAGCCCAGTGAGTGGAGAGAACACAGGGGAAGCGGAGAGATGCTCACAATCTCCTTGCTAGAGAAAATGCTCACCGGTCCTGCTCAGGATTAGGGTTCATGGAGCAAACCCAGGTGTCAGGGTACTCCTTTTCCACAGAACTCAGCTGGAAGGGGAGGGTCCGCCACTTCAGGCACACATCTGTGACGCAGAAAACACCCCCGCAAACAACATCAGCCACTTCCACCAAAAGGACCTGTAATCAGGTTCCTCCTGACCAGGCCCAAGGCAAAGATGCCCTCGCCTTTCTGTGCAAAGATTTTCACTCTGGCTCCAACTCTGCCATCCTTACATAGCAATAATTCTTCTCAGGGATTGTGATTCCAGCAAGGATAGAAACTATGTAGCAAAGACTCTCAATGTCCCAGCCCTTCTCCCTCCTCCAGTAGGACCCTGGGCTCAGCCATCACTTATGCTATTAACATGCAACCAAACCGAGTTGAAACCTGGCTGGGTAGATGACCTTCTGCTTCATTCGGGAGAGATAGGTGAACTCAGCACAGCCCCAAGCCTGAGCTCCCAGGGCCGTCGCCAAACGGACTCCCATCCCTAGTGCAACCACAAGTCACAAATGCCACTCCAGTCAGAAGGCCAGCACAGGGATGGAGAGAAGGCAGTCATGGACTATGACGGAAAGTAGTCAGGAAGAGGCTCTGACAACCAGCTCACCGCACTGGATGGTGGTTGGGATTTCCATAGCTCTCCGGCGTTTGTAACGAAGGTCACTGGACGGGGGCTGGTTCCAGTTGGCAGAGAGGTAGCCAAACTCATCCCAGAACTTGATGATTCCCCTCTGGGCTGGAAGGAAACCCACACGTCATGTCAGGCCTCTCATCTTCCTGAGTTCACCACCCCACCACAGGCGGTGAAAGCACCCCAAGGGCCAGAGGGGCAGGGCACTACCAATGGCGATGTCCTTCCAGTACTGCGCTAGGTGCTCCCCCATCGCCCGCAGCAGGTGCCGGTACTCCTTGGCATCAGCGAAGTCCTGCTTGTTGTGTGTAGGCTCCAGGACCAGGTAGGGTACATCGACGACCCCAACAACCCCACCACATGCCCTGCAGGGGAACAGAAGCACCTGTCTGTCACCCACTGGCCACCCTCCAGCTGCCCACCCGCCTCGGGCTGGAAGGCTCTCCCTGGGCAGTACTCACATGCCCCCCTCCAGCTGAGGGCCCACTTTCTCATACATCTTGATCAGGCGGCTGCAGTTGTAGATGAACATGCCGTCCAGGTCCCGGTGCTCAATATTGACCCCAAAAACAAAATTCAGTTCCTTAGGTTCTTTAAGTGCTCTGAGAAGACAAAAGATAAACTCAAGCAGGTCAACCCATTAACATACAAACACCATGGTGTTTCCTAAAAATTAAGCTTAAGCTTAAGCTTAAGCAAAATTTTTGCATTTTCACTCAATGTGGAACCTGTTAGACTGGACAGGGACATACACAGTGCAGTGACTCTCAGCGTCCCTAATGACAAGCACACAGGGATCAAAATAGGGATGAACTTAAGTAGGAATGGGATACCACAAGGCTGCTGCAAATCTCTGCATACACAGTGGAATACACACAAGGTCATCCGCAGCTCTACTCCACTAATGTGACAGTGATTAACTATAAAAAGACAAAAATTCACAGGAACAATGAACATGAATGAGAGAGAAGAGACCATCCTGTGGTGACAACAAAATTGTAGAAGCTGAGACACAGACAGATGGGCAGTGCACTGACTCAGACTGAAAAAATCTGAGACCTATGCCTGTGGCAAGCAAGTCAGAAGGCAGCCAGCCAAGAAGTCACAGCCCAGAGCCCAGAGAGGTTTTACCAATGGCGATGTCCTTCCAGTACTGCGCTAGGTGCTCCCCCATCGCCCGCAGCAGGTGCCGGTACTCCTTGGCATCAGCGAAGTCCTGCTTGTTGTGTGTAGGCTCCAGGACCAGGTAGGGTACATCGACGACCCCAACAACCCCACCACATGCCCTGCAGGGGAACAGAAGCACCTGTCTGTCACCCACTGGCCACCCTCCAGCTGCCCACCCGCCTCGGGCTGGAAGGCTCTCCCTGGGCAGTACTCACATGCCCCCCTCCAGCTGAGGGCCCACTTTCTCATACATCTTGATCAGGCGGCTGCAGTTGTAGATGAACATGCCGTCCAGGTCCCGGTGCTCAATATTGACCCCAAAAACAAAATTCAGTTCCTTAGGTTCTTTAAGTGCTCTGAGAAGACAAAAGATAAACTCAAGCAGGTCAACCCATTAACATACAAACACCATGGTGTTTCCTAAAAATTAAGCTTAAGCTTAAGCTTAAGCAAAATTTTTGCATTTTCACTCAATGTGGAACCTGTTAGACTGGACAGGGACATACACAGTGCAGTGACTCTCAGCGTCCCTAATGACAAGCACACAGGGATCAAAATAGGGATGAACTTAAGTAGGAATGGGATACCACAAGGCTGCTGCAAATCTCTGCATACACAGTGGAATACACACAAGGTCATCCGCAGCTCTACTCCACTAATGTGACAGTGATTAACTATAAAAAGACAAAAATTCACAGGAACAATGAACATGAATGAGAGAGAAGAGACCATCCTGTGGTGACAACAAAATTGTAGAAGCTGAGACACAGACAGATGGGCAGTGCACTGACTCAGACTGAAAAAATCTGAGACCTATGCCTGTGGCAAGCAAGTCAGAAGGCAGCCAGCCAAGAAGTCACAGCCCAGAGCCCAGAGAGGTTCTGGACACACAGGCAAGACATGCAGGTGGTGGTTTAATGAGCCACGGCAAGTGCCCATTCTAGATTGGGAAGGTACGAAACTCAACCTATAGCATCATTCCACATTTGTAACCAAGGATAAAATACTAAGAGCAGATTATCACCAGGGGGTAGAAGTAGAAGTGAGTTTAAAAATTTGTATTTCTATTTATATTCAATTTTATATTTCTTAAAAGTTCTGTATTTTACAAGTTTAATACAATGAGCATTTCATATATACTTTAAAAGAAAAAAAAAAGGAAAGAGACAGAAAGCTAAGGAAGAGGGGAGGAGGTGAGGGAGAGAGAGAAAGGAAGAGGGACAGGGCGAGGGCGAGGCAGAGGCAGGCAGGCAGGGAAGGAGGGAGGGAGGAGGGAGAGCTGCCGGTGAGGAAGGTCTGTGCGGTTCAGGTTCAAGGTGCTGGCCCTGCCCTGCCTTTTCTCAGCTCACGGAAGAACTGAGCGAGGAAAAAAACCTCTCCTGCAGTGGGCATTTGACAAGCATTTGGGATCACACCGTCAAGGGCGTTCTCAAAGCAATCTCTGGGACATAAAGGCAACCTGGTGGGGTGGGGAGGGAGTCCTCAAGCTCTCTAACTGCCAATCACCGTACAAACGCTACATAATTCTAAAACCAGAGGCCAGCCCTGGCACTGACCGCTGCTTGGCCTCCTTGATCCGCTTCTTGACATCAGCTTCTCTCCGCAGGGTAACGGCTGTGTTCTGGACCTGTCGCAACATCACCTGGAAATGTGTATTGGCACCAAGTGAGGGCAGGAGGTGCTCTGGGCTACAGCAGGTCTAATATTATAACAAGACATCTAAAACTTCTCACTTTAAGTCACCTGAGTGTAAAACCATGCTGGGGATTTACTTCTTTTCTACAGAACATGGCCCTCACTGGGGACAAACTCAGAAGCCATGTTTCACGACCAGGCTGATGGGAAGGAGGAAACACCCCCAACTGAAACAACAGCCCACAGCAGGGTGAGTCAGAGAGGGAGGGGCAAAGAGCCCCTCTGCCATTTACTGCCGTGGGGTAACCTGGGGCAAGTGACCTCCTTCACTTTGATTTCTTTTTGTAAACTAAGGATACTACCAGTGTCTACCTCATAATATGGGTTGTTGGGATGTTGAAATGATGAGCCAGGATTTTCCCCAGTGTCCAACAGGGATTATGGAAACATTGTTACATCCCATTTTTCCGCTTTAGGGCGAGGGCTTGTGACTGACCACCAGCTCTGGGATCCCAATGCCTGAAATGCTGGAGAACGCTGCCCAGGTCTGGAGCCTTACCCTGGAGTCTCGGGTGAGGTCTCCACCCAGGCGTAGTTCTAATGTCCGAGCTTTGCTCTCTGCCTCCCGTGCCTTCTCTTCAGCTGAAACCCAGAAGAAACCATGATAAGGAATTCAAAGGTTTAAAACTCTCAAAGTTATCCTTTCCAGATGCCACAGTGCAATCCTTGCTGGACAAGACATGTGGCCGCTGTCAAGAAACAGGAGAGCTGGGAGGGCAATGTCCTGGCTAGGACGGCAGAGTCCATTCAAAAAGGAAATCAAGGAGGCCCTAGGGAAATCAGGCACTATTTATACCTGAGACAGGCTTTTCCGACTTTACAAATGAATCAGAACAGGTCAAAAACTACCCAAGGCAACCAGTTAAGCCCTCAGCAGGAACTGGAGGTTATCAAAGTCCTCAGCCAATCATGTACCATCAAGCAGCCAAGAATCCCTGTCAGCAAGAGAGACCTAGCGATTTTTGCCCTGGAGTCAGGAAAACCGATTTCACAAGTATTTGGGCCAAGGAAGGCGTGTGAGACTCTTTACTCTAGGCAAGCTGAGGAGTTGACATTGTTTCAGGTAAGTCCCTCTGGGGAGAAAAACTGCTAAGGGGACTGGCTTGGGAGAAGGCCATGGCCCAGTGTTCAGCAGAACAGCCTGTCCCTGGGTGTTGCACGGAGCTTTCTTCTGGATTCTGATCTGGCCACAAAGCAGTGTCCCCCAGACACCCCCCGCAACCAATCCCTCCTGCACAAGGGGAGCATTACCAATCCGTGCTACGTGCTCCGCTTTCTTCACCTCCTGCTCTGCACGGGTCTTGAAACGGCTTGATGTGTACTTATACATCCTGAACAGGGGAAGAAGTGACCTGAGGGCCTGCGCAGCAGGAGGCAGGGTGGAAAGGAACCACCCTGCCTTCTCGCCTCCTAAGTTGCACTGTCCTGCCCCTTGTGATGAATCTAAGACAAGCTTATTTCGGCAAAAAGACTCAATTCTATTCTACTAAGAAGCCTCACTACTCACCCACTGTGTCATTAACCTCAACAGCAGAAGCAAGCAAGCGTCAGTCATCAGCCAGGGCCTCTGCTCTGCTCTGCAGTACCCAAGAGGCCCTCGGCCTGAAGCTGAGGGGCTCAGACAGCTCTCAGCCATGCAGGGGACCCTCCACATCACAGGAGGTGCTCGCATTCTACAAGCTTCTCCAGCCAACCTCCACAGCCTGTTGGCCACCTCTGTCCCTCCTTCAGGACCCATGAGTGTCTCCACAGTAAATTACAGGTAGCTTAAAGGCCCAAATGCAGTCAGCACCATCAAAGCCTTTCACCTGGCATCACTCCGATGTCCCAGAGAAACACGGCCAGGCCCAGTCCTTGGGCCAAGGGCGGCAGTAGCCCCTACCTGGGTTTGTACAGGCAGCAGGAAAGTCTCTTGGTCTGCACCTTGTGACCATGGATGAAGATCCTCATTCGGGGATCAATATAGAGCACAGCAGCATAGGCACGGAAGGAGCGCCGCTCTGGCTTCCTGCAGGTGGCAGGAACAGACGGGTGCTGTCATCTGCCCCACAACCAGCCTGAACAAGGTACGCAGGCCTCTCTGCAGGCCCTCCACCTCTCGGCCTCACGCCTCACCTTCTCTTGCCGCCCTGAAGGGTGCTCCCTCAGCGTGGGCACCCTGCCGGCCCCCATCATGTCCCTAGCACAGGTGTCCCACAGGCACCTGGCCCAGCCCTACCACTGCCCCACCAAGGACCTGGAAAATCATCTCCCTCTAGTTTCTTTCTCTCTCAAATCAAGGAGTTGGAGCAAGGGAATGTAAATCTTTTCTCTGGTTCAGCTGAGGACATGCTGGCCACCCATGCGTCCCTTCCGCCTACAGCATGTGCAGGTCTCAGCTTCATCGGTGCTAATACTGCCAAACCCAGGGAAGGAGTTCTCCCCTGCCTCCCTGAAGTCACCTCCTGAGCTCTTCCTCCCTGGGAGAAAGAACACCAATTCCAGAGCCTCCCTCCCTACCCAGCCACACTCACGTGCCCTCTGGAGAAGTCTCTGCCATCTGGATATCCCGTGGGTTTGAGATTATGTCTAGCTCCGGCTCTCCGTTATCCATGAGCTTGAGATTGAAGATGATCACCAGGGTTCCTAGGGAGCAGAAATGCTCATTTCACTCTGTCAGGGACCCCGGCCTATCCCCACACCACTCACGGCTCTGGAGCTCCCAGGTTTCAGGGGGCCTACTCACCACTGTCCCCAGGAATCTTCATGAACTGAGTCATCACTTCCTCCTCGCCGTGGAATGGAGAATACTTATAGATGAGTTCCGTCTCAATGGCAAACTTCTCCACATTGTCTGTGACAGGGTCCCGGGTCCGAGCATTCCAGGTGGGCAATGGGACTATCACCTGTGGAGCAAGGACAGGCAGACGCTTCAGACACTTTGAGGGAGGCCCCAGAACAGCCTTCCCCCCGAATGTGCATCCATCTTGTCCCTGCCCACAGTGGTTCCACACTAGCCAGAGGTGAGGCCCAGACTCCACAGCCTGATGCTGGCGGCTCTGTGGCTTCTGCCTCTTCCCAACACTGCCTCCCATCACTACATTCTCTGTGGGGTCAGCTCTGGGAAGTTCCTGACTTGGGATGCTCCTGGCCATTTTCCTGATTTGATAGTAATTCTACTCTTTCCATTAAAAAAATACATTTGCTATTATCTAGTGAATCCGAAGACAGAGAGAAACAACCTGCAACTCAGCAATTCCACTCCCAGGTATATACCCTAGGAGAAACTGCTGCATAAATATACCAGCAAATGTGAAAGAATAACATACATATCCACCATAGAGTAGATAAATTACACTGTAGTATGTTTCCATGATGGAATACTGTGCAGTGACGACAGTGAACAAACTAGCAGCTACCAGCATCAACATGGGTGAACCTCACACACACAGTGTTACATGAAAGGAGCAAAATACAAAAAAACCCTAAACCCTACAGTATGAGTCTATTTATGTGAAATTCATAAATAGGAAAAACTAAACTATTATTCAAGAATGTGTACACAGGTGGCTACAACTATAAAGAAAAACAAGGAAATGGTTATCACAAAGTTACATGGAGGCAGCAGAGAAGGCACATGAGAAATACAATAGGTGAGGGGCACCTGGGGACTCCTAGCACGTGTATGATGGTGGCTACACGGGGATTTGCTTTGCAATGTTCTCCCAACTGTACATGTTTTGTATACTCTTCCATACCTAGGGAATTTAATCTTATGTCTCAGTAATGTTTGTTTTTCTAAAATCTTACTGTACTTCAATCAAGTTGGGGAAAAAATTTTCCTTTCTTCAAAAACCTTTAAATACTTCAAATGCCATTTCCCTGGAGGCCTCAATGTGCTCCTCCCCTCCTCCGCCAGCTGCGCAGGGATCCCCGAGGAAGACTGGCTGCTGGGATTCCCTTTGTACAGCAGACCAGCCCAGGCACCTCCAAACCTCAGATCAGATGGCCCACCTGAGGAAAAGTAGACCCTGACTTTAACAAGTGCCAGGGCGATAAACTGGTAAGCGTTCTGAGACATTCTGCTGGTTTCTAAGAAGTTTCATGACTATACTTACTCAACCTTAGGGCTGGTTTGGACACATTACTACCCAAACAAAAATGATTTTATTGTGAAATCATGGCTGCCTTTGCATTAGAGTACAATCCAAAACAGCGACCTTCTAGCACCAACTAAGGAAAACATTTCAACCTAGCTTTGTCACCAGGGGAACTGAGTTTCATTTCTTTTCTGTTAATCGGCACCTCACTCTGTACACCCCCCAACTCTCCACAGCAGTCCTGAGTGACAAAGGCACGACTTTGATCCATGGGCCTTCCCTTCCATTGCTACCACCCCAGCCATGAGAAAACCTCTCCTTTGGTTTCAGTGTCACCACTCTCCCGGTTTTCCCCATACCCTCTGACTGTTCCTGTCCCCTTTGCCACAGTCTCCTCTCCCTGGCCTTTAAATGTAGGCGTGTCCAGGATTCTGGGTCCTCTTCTTACTCCTCAAGCTCCTTCAGAGGGGCTCGTTTGCTCCCGAGCACCCCGGAGCTCAGGCTTCCCTCACGCTCCAGACCCAGCTTTAGCTTCGCCTGTACAGAACTCATTCTTCCCCTCCGAACGGCCCCTCTTCCCATCCTCCCTGGCTCCAGACAGCCCCCCATGCCCTGGCTGCCACACTAGAGCCCAAGTCACCCATAACCCACCTCTCCTTTTGCTATTTCTCTCACTTCTCGGCTGCGAGTCCTGCCAGGGTACACATAGCCAGGGCCTCAACTCTCCACTTCAACACCCAATCTGTCCAATCCAATCCCCACACAACCACCAAACAGATCTTTTTGAAAGAAAGACTGATACTGCCACACCCTCACTTAAATTCCCTTTAAATACTGCTTTTAGTAATGTCCCACATAGGCATCAAGGCCCTGAGGTCAAACCTGACTTGGCCCTCCCTGCTCTCCAGAGGCCACCACCTTTCTTCAGGCAGCCCCTCTGGCCAGTCCCTTCCCAGAGCCCTCCCCAGCCCTGAGGGCCTTGATCAGACTGTCTCTGCCTTTGAACACCTTCCTCCTGCCGAGCGCTTTCTCCTGCCTTCTCCTGCCTTCTCCGATGCGTCAGGAAGCAGTCCTGAAAACCCAGCCCCGCTCCAAGTTCCTGCCCTGCCTTCTCCCAGGAGCCGGCTCTTCCCAGTCCAGCGCATGCTGGAGGAACCGCCACACAGCACCAACAAGGCAAACAAACCCAGAAAGATGGCAGAAAAATACAGCCTTTCATCCCCAACGTGATCTAACTTGCTATGATCTAGGCTCACATCTAAACAGAGCCGGTACAACTTTAATCATTACTAACCAATAGACAGGAATTCCACTGAAACTTTGAATTCACCTGTTTATGTGACACTCCTGAAACTCTCTCTGCAGACCCGTTCAACTCCCTCTTCTCAAGCTCTGGCCTCCATTTCTTACCCGTGAGAGGAGAGTAGTCTGAGGCTGGGCAGGCCAAGGCCTTCCCTGATGCCCACCATGAAGGGGCACAGACCTCACCACACCAGCTCTACAGATATCTGAGCCACCAGGCCACCAAGAGAATCAGCCAAACATGTGTTTAGCTTATTTAATTAACGAAATGTTTTAAAATCACAGTATTCTGAATTTATTAAGCCTTCCTTCCAGCTCAGCAATAATTAGCTGGGGCTGAGTGCCAGCTGCCACTTAGTGAAGAAGTTACACTGATGTCTTCTATATGCTCACCTGCTTCACCACCTGCCCCGGCCCTTAGGCATCTGACTTCACAGAGATGGTTAGAACAGAAGAAAAAGGAAAATTCCTCAAAAGGAAAATGCACTTGTAGTGCATTCCACAAAATCACCATCATATGGGAAAGACAGTGGTGTTCCTGCTATTATTACCAGCTGCAATCTCCACCCACAGCCACAAAAGCCAAAATACCACAGATGATAAAACACTCTCCAGAGTGACACCCCATTAGAGTGAATCCAAGCTGCAGATCTAGGGGCACTGCAACTCCAGTTCTTGCTTCCTGCCACTGGATGGCCTCATTTTCAGAAAAAGGACAGCTTTTCTCTGAAGCTTTGAGATTTTACTTCCTGTCCCATTAAGATATCTGCCTTAACCCTTCAACTGACTCATCTGACCAGTTAATCCTTAACAGGGGCATGGCTGCCATCCTGCAAACCCCGGTGGACCCAGCATTGCACACCACCTATAACAGCAGCGTGGGCAGACTCAGGAAACGGATTGATGACTCGGACCAAGATGACAGGACCTACTTCATCAATGCCTTCCTCCTCGTGAAAGGTACGAGACAGGAAAAGGCAGCTCATGGTCTCTTCCTTCTTGGTAAAGAGGATAAAATCCTTCCCAATGCGCATGGAGCCCCTGAAAAGGAAGCAGAAATGGGTTATTCTCCCAGGGATTCAAACGCTCATCTGAAAAAGGAGCAAATTCACTCTCTGGACATGACAGGAACTGCCTGTGGAGCCTTCTGAAGGCCTGCCTCCTCTGTCCCGGGACCCTTACTTGAGTTCTACAGCCCTCACTCCCTCTCCTCCCTTCCGCCACTTTCCCCACCCCCACCCGGCTCTTCCATCAGCCTAGGTCCTTCCTCACACCCTTCCTGACCACACGTACCCACCATGCAGGGCTCCTTTACCACTCTTCCAGGGCACCTTCACCACCAATCAGCCGCAGGTGGACTCACCCCCGCCTGCTGCCACAACAGGGAGAAGTAACCCTGTTGCCCGTGCTCTGGGTTTGTCCAGCTGTACAAGGGCTGCTGTACCCTCTGAAGGGGCCACGTCCGATTCCCCTCCAGTAACTGACACCTTCAACAATATCTCATCTTCCATGCTGCCCACATCCAGTTCCCACCCGGCTCTTCCTTTGCTGACACAACTCCCTCCCACCCACTCATCAAACAGCAGCACCCTTAGGGAACAGCCCAGTACCTATGCTCACAAGTCCTCAAAACAAAAGAGCTCAACCCCAAGGCTCAGCAAATGTAGAGACTAACCATACAAAATATAATTACTGATCGCGGTTTTAAAGGCAGTCTTTAACTGGCTCATGTCCTGTAACTAAGCCATCTTTTGTCTCAATTATTTTGCCACCTCAAGCACATTATGACACACGCAGGTCCCTAATTTTTGGATGCAGCTGGTTTCTGGGAAATGTGCCTTGAGGCTGCCTTCCACAAAAGCTAACGTCTGAATGCAATCAACTGCTTCCATCCTGTCTGGCCACGTTAAACCATCTGAGGAACAGGGACAGGCCTTTCCAGGCACCACAGAACAGGGCAGAAGCTTGAAGCACCAGCGGGAGGACTGCCCACTGAACAAGGAGGCTATTTTGCTGCTTTTTCTGAGCAGCTTCTACGGCTTTATGATTATCACCTCATTAGTCCTCAGAATACCTCAGGGAGGTGACGACACGGGGAAGCGTCCTTACTCTCTTCTATGCACAAATACAAACCAGGCTGGCATGCTGAACACACAAATCAACGTCATGTCCCATTGCCCCAGACGCTCAGGAAAACTCCTGGGACCCTACCCAGAGATGCCCTGGGGGCTGGCAAGTTGCCTCTCCTCCTCCAGTCCCTGAAGTGCCAGCACTACTCCTTCCCCTGACAATTTCACAGCCCTCCTCCTTCCTGAAGCTGACGGGCAGCAAAACGAGACATGTTTGCCCTAATTTGAGAAAAATTATCACTTTGGGCCTCTTTCTCGCCTCTGTCTTTGATCCTGACCTTGATGGCTGAATATCAACAACCCAAAAATGCCCCCGCTCTGCTGGCTTCCCTGCTTCTCAGTCCTATTCTCAACACACATCACTTCCTCCTGAAACTTTTTCAACTTCTGAATGGGTTTCAAAATGAATATACTCTCAACACTAGATGGCTCCAGCTCAATGGGTCCTTTACAAAAGTTACTCTACTAAAATATGCTAATGACAACACTCAACTTTTGTATACTTCCCTTTCCCAGTTTTCTAAGACTTTCACAGCCACATTTCATTTGCTCCTGAAACTTGGCTCTGTAAGGAAGAATGTCAGAGAACCCCATTTTCTAAATCAGGAAACATCTGCAGAGAGGTGAAACTACTTGCCTAAGGCCAAAGAACTGATAAGACCATGTTAGGTGGAGGTTGGCCTCCAATCCAGATGGGAAGTCAGGGTTTCTTACGTCACTGACTCTAGGAAACCTCAGTTACTCGAGATTTAGATCACCTGCCCCAGAACCTCCCTAAGAACCTATGAAAAAACACAGATTTATAGGCCTTAGCCCAGACACACTGAAAAAGGCCAGGAATCTGCCAAGAAAGATCAAAGAAGGGAGAACAAGACGTCCGAAACCAAGCTGGGACTCTCATGGTACTGTAGCATTTAATCCTTAACCTACCTATATATTATAATTCCAATTTACAAAGAAGGAACCTGAAGCTCAGAGATGTAACAAAGTGGCTAAAATGAGATTTGCACTTTAGTGTGTCTGGTTTAAGGGTGATGGACAGCAGCTCCAGCTATGCAGCACAAAGACCTGGTTCACAGCTTGGCTCTACACCAAGCATTTCTATACCCATGGCAAAATCACTTCACCCCTATAAACCTCAGTTTCCTCATCTGAAAATAAGAATAATAGTACCTACACCTAATAAGGCTACAGTAAGCATTAAACGAGATGATACAAGTAAAGTTTTTTGCACAGTGCCTGGCACAAGGTAAGTACTTGTTATTAACTTTTGGTTCCTGCCCTGAGAGACAAATCAGTAGGTCCAGGCACCGGGACACCAGTCCCTGATGTCTTCTGAAGCACTCTCTTTCCTCCCCATATGCCCAGCATATGAGGGACAACTGATGGTGCTGACTGACCAAACCACTTCTCTCTCTCAAGTCAAACAACACGTTTCCACAGCAAGACTAGAAACGTGACTCAGAATTCCATTTGCACAAACTCCAATTCCACTAAATCTTATTCCATCCAAAGGTATGTACAGCTGGAAGTGAGCATTTCAGAAATAGAAACCTTTCTCTTGGGGCTTCACTCAAAACCAGAACAACACATTCCAAACACTAAACAAGCGGGAACCAAGGGCTGAGAAAGAAGTCCTAAGGGATTTGAAATTATTAGGTAGATCCCTACTATAGGGCCGAGCAGGACATGTGAGTGGAGACCACGTCCTGCAGGAGGGAGGGTATGGGTCTCTCTCACTCACCCAGGAGCCCCATTGCCTGGCAGAAAGCATGACAGGCGGCAGGTGCTTCGTGAAACTGCTGTGCTATGAGGCAACCCCTTTGCCATCTCAGATACATCTCAACCCCACAAAACAACCACTCACGTCCTCAACGACAGAGTAAAAATAAGAACTGTTCAATAGGAGGAGAGAGAAACCTAGAGCTTCTCCCACCTCAACTGGTTTTGGATGTTCACACTTTTCTATCTGTGAAGTAGATCAAGCTGCACAACAGTTGTTAAATCCCCAAACCATCGCTCCTTTTAGACTTCTCTTCTGTTCCAGAAAGAGAAAAGTTTTCACCAAACAGAAGCAGGAGAGAATAGTTCGATTTTGTTGGAGTCCTGTGACAGGCTTTAGCATACTTACGATTTTAGCCCATTCCCATACTGCCCAATCTGGGTAGACTCAGGCGTCCGCTTGGCCGACTTCCCAAACTGGATCACACTGGCAGCATCACCTGAAGTTGCAGGCACAAAAGGAAATGAAAAGTTTGTATTTCTTTCCCAGGCTCCTCAAAAATCAAAGGTCTGAGCCTTGTTAAATCCAAGCAAGGCTGTGCCCAGGGGCTGAAAACCTCTGTCCAAGGGAACTCACAGCCCTAAGGCAAACGAAGGCAGCCTCGGACTGCCCTGTCAGTACCACCATCACTCTGTCACCAGAACATGGGGATAATGCTGAGGGAGGCCTCTGTGGTTCCAGCTCCAGGAGGCTGTGCAAGCTGCTAAACACAGTATCAGAAGACAGGTAACCTGACTACTTCAGTTTGCCGTTAAGATCCTATCTCCCAAGCTAGGACAAGCCTGGGCAAATCCGTTGGTGGAATTCAGCCTGAGATGTTACAACAGACTTCTCTCTTTCCATCTTCTAGTCACAACAGCGAGGCAACAGAAAAACAAGTTATTTGTAAAATGGATACATCCTCCCCAAAAGAAGCATTCCTCTCACAACTTACTTGGATCCATTCCTGCTCCATCATCCAAAAAGCAAAGCATAAATCCTCCTCGAAGGTCCTCTCGCCTTTCTGTAAAAGAAGCAGCTGCCATTACTGAGTAGCTGCCCACCACAGGGTGGCAACATAAGTGTGATCAGAAGGTGGATCAATGTGAAGCCTGGTCCACAAAGATCAGGTCAAACCTCGCTTCTCCTCCCGACAGTCCGAACTAATACACGTTAAGTATCAGGGCCCTTGAGGGTGAGAATTCCCATCAAAGTTCTCTAATGTTTTCCAGTTCATGACAAAGCTTGACAGAATCTATAAGGATAGCAGAGAGTACCTGGTCCGGCATCTAACCACACCCAGGACCACTGAATATGCAAGCATTTCACACATATTTTCATCATCCTTCTGCCTCTCTCCACCTAGATTACTTTGATTTCTGCCATCTGTATGGACCCCAAGCCACCAAAGTACCCCACCTCTGCACACTGTGCCTTACCAGCACTATTCAAGTTCAACAGGGCTACTCCTTTGCAGGTTAAGTTTGGGGTAGCCTTCAGACAAACTGGTCAAGCCAGCCATGCTAAGGGAACTGCGGTGGCAGCTGCTATTTAGAAGATGAATTACTAAGTCTGTATGGGACTATTCCCAGGCTAACTACAGCTGCTGGGCTATCTGTATTTATCGTCAAATTCCCTGCTTGCTATGGGTCCTTGATACGGCTCCCTCACCCAGGAGGAAGACAGCACAGGGTGCAGTGAGAGCTGTCTGGATCCCGGCTGGACCTGCTGCTCAACTGGAAGGAGCAGTCCTTTGACAATAAGATACAGAGCAGCCATGGCAAGGCTTCCTGGCCAATAGGAAGGGAATGCACTAGACTGCGGCTGCTATTCCAATAGGTGAAAGACCTCTTCTTTCAGCAGCTGTCTTCTGCAGCAGCAAGTGGCTACTCAAAGTATTCTGAGTCCAAGCATGTCACAGACATTGGAGAAGAGTCCCAAAGACGGAAGGGGGCCATACTAGAGTTTCCAGGGTGCCTGATGATGAACTAGGTGGGCAAAGGAACAGCACAGGCCTTGGCCTCAGGCAAGCACTTCTACTAAAGGGATGAAGGTCTATGTAAGACAGTAACAGAGACAAGCCAAAGGCTGCTTTGCAGCCTAGTTCCTAAGTGAGAATTTTTTTGTCTCCCCCATGCTGCAGTTCACCACCTTTATACAACTACCTAAGCTGAGGAATCTCAGTTTAAAATACTCTTTGTCCTCCCCTCAGGCTAAAAATTTAAGTGGGTCATGACTGCCTTCTGTTAAATAGACTGGTTAATACAATTTAAAATGCTATTTCGGAAGTACTATAAACCACAGAGATTTTCAAGTATCACTAAGTGTTCAGGAAGCTGAACTTTGCTGAAACATTACTAACAAGTGCTTCTTGAAAGTTCAAGGGCAAGGACCTTCTTGAAGTACTACTGGTAGATAAGAAAACTTCTCCTTGTGGCAGTGCCTCTTATTAGCATCTGAAGAATCCAAATGAAATCTAGCCAAGCAGAAGCAAGTGCAAGAAACGCACAAAAAGCCTTCAAAGTTTCCTTCTGGAGGAAGTGATGTGTCACATGGAAACAAACTGGGTCAGGCAGAGAGAGAGGTAAGAGAGGTATTCTAAATCTAGCCAAGAGCCATCTGCTGTACATTTCAGCCATAAAATGTACATGAAAATTCTACTTTGGCATCTAGAAATTGGTTTGAGCCAACTGCATTTGAAAAGTCCCCAAGAATTACTGGCATTACTCAAACACGACCTAGGAAGTTACTTCTAGGCCCTTGGGTTTCTTAGAACAGAACTCACAGGCTGTCTTCACACACGACAATCACTCAACAGTGGGGCTCAGATCCGTTTCTTGCTTAAGGACTTCATTTCAAAGATTTTTCATACGGCTTATGAAAGTGAGAGACCCACCTGTGGGGGTTCCTCCTGGCCACACAGTGCCCACCAGTCTGTACCGCAGCTAGTAACGTTCGAGCCCATGGTCATGTGCAACACTGCCTCAGGGCCTAGAGAGACCAGGTGACCCAGGAGTGACTCCGTCAACTCCATCAACAGGCAGTGCGCACCTTCACCTGGCTGTAACGCCTAGCTCACTCACTTATTCCATGAGTATTCCCTGAGCACTCCCTAGCTGCCTAGCTCTGTCATGAAGGTAACAGCAGTGACCAGTGCAGATGTGGTCACTGCCTTCATGAAGCTTACACTCCAATAGATGCTACTCTCTCTAGCAGACTGGGTAAGCAGAGAGAGACTGCAGAAAGTAACAGGGGGGAAAAATTTAGTCTGAGTAAGAATACCCTGAAGAGCTTATAACAGTAGATTCTGGGCTCCACTCTGAGCGTCTGCATGGGTCTGAAGTGGCACCTGAGAATCTGTATGTCTAACAAGCTCCCAGGTGATGGGGATACTTTTCATCAGTGGACCAGTGGACCACTCTTCGAGAAGAACTGAGCTAAAGCAAGCAATAAATAGAAGGCTTCCCTGCTCAAAACTTCTCCCCAGACATCCCACCAGTTATATTCCTAACACATGATGTTTAATCAGTCAAATAAATTGTATCTGAAGACTTCAAGGAAAGGATTTTGATGAAGGGGAATTCTGGACAGAGGATCATCTAAGCAGCTGGGGATTGTATGCTGCCCTCCCATCAGACATCCTGGAAGTAATACAAGGAGGGCAAAGCTAAACTGCCTTCTTTGCAGTTGTGCTTCAGATCCTGGTAGCAGTTACGTAGGATCATCAGAACCAGTTTGGAAAGCTGCACATCTAAGCTTCCCCCAGTAGAGCTAAGTCTGGCTTTTTTCAAATTAGCCTGGCATCCCTCCATCCAACTCCCACTGGGGAGAAGGCAGGAAAAAGAAAGAAGTGGAAGAAGAGATGTACATGGAGCTGTAAGTCAAAAGTCAGAGGTGATAAAATAATGTCCTTAGAAGAAGTTGTAATAAAATCACGTCCAAGTTCTTCATCATACTTTGTAATCTGAGCACTGTTTCAGTCACATTGTTCTAATTTTCCATTTACTAACCACTCACTTAGCATCACAAAAGGGATCTTTCTTTGAGGGGTGGCACTCCCTATCTAAGAAAGTGAAGAAAGTCAATAAAAATACTTCTGACAGGTACCGTATGGCCTGTCCCCATCTAATAGCAATGCTCTGGGTGAGTGAACAACTCTAGAAACTTTGACAGTCTGGTTTCTTTCTCAACCTTCTTGGTTTGAATACAGTCTTTTAAAATGTGACTTTGTGGTGAATTCAAACTATATCTAATGTTTCCAAGGTCAGTATCAATCTAGTTTCAGAATGGGAAAAAGGAAAATATGTCCCCCATGTGCTAACAAGAATTTCATAGTATTAAAATACTACTAAGTCTATTTTCTACTTGTTAAATTAGGGTGCTTTTATTCCTCCTATTGAATGTGTTAATAAGGCACTGAGGTAGAAAAGTGTGAAGTTAAGAACATCTCAGCCAAGACTCCCAATCTCAAGGTACTTGGAGTAAATCAAGTCTGTTTCCAAAAACCACCAACATGCTTAGTGCTTCTATCACACCATTTAATCCTTAACTGCCTCGATGGTTCCCCCAAGATCAAGTTATTGTTCTCTAATCATCTGCAGAGTGCCCTCTCTCTAATTAGAGAGCACTTTCTCAAATGAGAAGGAACTTAGCAAAGGCCCGTCTCGCCCTCTCTGGACTCCCCCCATAGCACACTAGGAGTAACACGGAGTACAGAGTAAATGCACACTGGGCCCTTTTCATTTAAATTGAAATTCAACTGTTCTGCTGCATTCTGAGTGTCCAGGACTAAACTTCCTTGCTGAAATTCACCCACCAAAGGTGGTAAAAGGAGCAGAGATGATCTTTTTATAAATGCTTTCTCTAAATAGACTTGGCTCTGATGACTTGTCCCTTCCACATCACTTAGAAGCCTATTCTCTGCTTTCCCGTCTGTTCAGCAATTAAAACCACCACCATTTCTTTCAGAGATAGCAGTCATTACCCCTCACCAAAGCACACTGTGATGCAAAACACCCATGTGGTCTGGGCATCGCACCTCCATCTGGCACAATGGTTGAGTAACCCGTCTTCTAACATTTTTCTGCTGTGCCACTTTTTCCTAGTACTTTCTTTTAAAAATAAAAGGAGTCTTGTTTTCACCACTTTGGCAGAACCTTTTAAACAGAAGGCTTTCAGAATTTAAGCAGTACAGCTGACTTTTAGCTGTTCTGAATATTTTCTTTGATCCAACGTCTATCAGGCATGAGCAATTCATCATTCAGAATTTAAGCAGTACAGCTGACTTTTAGCTGTTCTGAATATTTTCTTTGATCCAACGTCTATCAGGCATGAGCAATTCATCATATCTGGGAAGAGTCTCCATAATTATATAACATTAGAAGCTCTTCTGATAACTTCTTAGTTGTGTGCTTCTTCCCATTTATCACATGAATCCATTAAGAAGAGGGGTTATTTCCTAACTGCATTCCCACCAAAACACTCAGAGCATCTCAGAAGCTAGCCAACTTTACTCAAAATATTATCTCAAACCTTTCAGAAGACATTCAAAAAAGTTTATCAGAAAAACAGATCATGCTAGCCAAACTGGATTTCAAAGCCATCTTTCTCTATTCTCCTTCCAAATCTTTAGCACTCAAATGACCAAAAAACATGTTGGTGCAAACACTGAAGAGAGAGAAGCAAGCCATTAAAAAAAAAAAAAAGATAATGACTAAGAATTCTTCCACTGTCACACCCTCTTAGAAAAGAAAGGGCCTTATTGCCAAACAGCAGAGCCAATCAAAAAGCAAAACAGTAGAAGCTGTCAATATCTTTAAATTCCAAGCAGAGCACCCCTCTGCCTGAGAACATTTCCTTGGCAAACCTCAGTGCCAACCCAGTTACCCAGCCATTCTATGCAACTGACACCAACAACTCTCCAAGTCAGGACTGGTCCTCAGCAAGGCTGCAGAGGAAGATATTGGCCTCCAACAAGATCATCTCTTTGGCTGCAGGTACCACCAACCTGGTCACCTGCAACTTCCAACCAGTAAAATCATTGGCACTTGGGCATTTCACTGCCTACTGCTATATACTCCATTGTCCCTGCTAGTCTCATGGTGGCTAGTTAAATAGATCTATAGATCTGGGCACCATGTGTTAGTTTCTTTACAGCAATATTCTTGGTACATGCCTGACGAGGACTGCTCTGTTTCTACCTGTGACCTGGAGTGATCCTACCACCTCCCTACGCTCCAGGAACCAGTTATTTCCCACTCATTTCTTGTTAGGCAGAGCAATAAATGCATTAAAAGGAACTAGGCATTAAAAGAAAGGACTGACATCTGACTTACCTGCATAAATATCTATTCTGGTAGCATCAGCATCTCTGTAATCAAAAGAAAAAAAAGATCAAAATGAGAATATGAATATCAGCCATCAAAATACATACTATTTTGAGCAGGAAGCATACTTTTTGAGTCTATTTTCAGGAAGTCATACAGAAATTCTGTATATGTTAAAGCTATACTTTTTATACATGGCAACACAATTTTCCTTAAACATGTGAAACACTTCTGGACCTCCAAATTATTTCAAATAATTGAATAACACATAGGGTCTGGTTACATTTGTTTCATATGGATTTCATGGTGAAAGCACCTAGAGGATAAGAACATTCCCCTTTACACACTAAAAAATGACTCAAATCGGTTTTTCTCACTTTTGACTACAATCAATAAAAAATGTTCCAATAACGTGTTCATTTTTTTCCTTCTCACCAAGAAAAAAGGAAAATAATCTACCACAAAGCCTATGAGAAAAATCAGGTCTCATGGTATATATACGCTATAGTCAGACTGATTCACAAGCCCATAATTTTATCCTCCCAAACCATGAAAAGAAGTTGGAGGCACCTCACTAGACTCCAACCATCAGCTGAAATACAAGTTCAGTCACCAGGGAAGGCTTTCATTAAGGCCTGGAAATTTTTCTGAGATAATTCTGCCAATTCTGCCAACTACCAGCAAGGAAAATGAGGCACAGAGTTTCACTGGTTTTAAAGCAAAATATCCATTCAAATCCTAACAGCTCCACCATGTACGAATGAGTACACGATAGACATAAAAACATTTTCGATTATCAGAGATTGGCAAGATGTGCACATGAGCAAGAACACATACTCTCAGGAATCTCCAGTGAGATTGGAGATTCCATATGATATACAAAATTAGAAATTTGCCACAGTACATCATGATCTCACTAAGCTAATAGTGGTAAATTCAGTTTATTAAACTATGATATTTTTTAACTGAATATAAAGATTATGAGTCAATCATATGGGAGTTTTCTAGCTAAACAACTAACACACTTCCATGAACAGTCCAGTGAATTACAACAATAAAATAACAGTATAGACAGAGGTAGACAGAAAATGATCAGCAAGCTCATTAACTGGGGATCTGTTTAGAAAATACTCTTCTGTCAACTCTTACCCTCTTCCTTCATTAGTCATCAACACCTGGTCAATAAAAAATATGTCTGGACATTATGTTTGTCTACAGGAAAACGACTGAAGCTAAGCACAGCTGCTAACAATGGAAGATGCTCTCATCAACTAATGTCATTTGACAAATATACATTTTGGGAAGATTCAAGACTCCGGCTTAATTTTAAAGACACTGGATGGTGTACTGTCCAGGTAACACAAATTACATAAGATTTTATCTGCCCCATTAATTTTATTCCTAAATTTCTATCTTAATTCCCTGTGTTTCACCACAATTATCTTGCTCTGACACACGAGGGACGAAAACTTTAGGGGTCAAAAGGTCACTATTTTTAAGCTGGAATACAAAACAGAATGAATTACAAGTTATTCAAGTAAAGTGGAAGCATCAACTAATGTTGTTATTAAAAATACTTTTTGGGTAAGAGGCCTCTTGGGAGCTGCAGCTGTTACAGAACTGCCTTCCTCTTAAGTCTTCAGGGAGCAGTCACAATGACCCAGAAAGTCTTCATGCAGACTGTATGCCTGAAGACTACATACCTTGCATTATCAACCAGTTCAGCAAGAGCACCAAACAAGAATTCATGAGTAGTACTGAAACGATAAATATCAAGAATCAGCAAAATAATTAGACTTGAACTTCACAACTCCTAATAAAAAGTCAAGCTCATAAATCATTTGTAAAGTTTTTAGGAAAAAAATCTAAAATCTCTATTTGCTTTGTTGCTTTACATTACTGAAATTTAAATTTCTCCGCAATTCTAGACTTTCCAGAGCTCACTGATCCCCCTCAAGTGTTGATCTATCAAATACTGCTACCTACACAGACATTGTTTATCCTTAACTGTGTTGAGAAGAGAAACCTAAGATTTCGATTTGTACTACTGTTAAAAGCAGTGTTTTTCACTATTCATTTTCATTGCTTTGACCAGCTGTAAGTTTCTGTACACCTCTTAAGTATGCTCAGTGGACTTGCCAGCATTCTGCTTTACCAATACCTGTATGTGACCTCAAGGAAAATTCATTTGCTTTTGTGCAGTCTATAAACAAAACTATTCCATTTGAAAGTGGGGATAAAGGAGAGAATATATTTCTTGATTTTCTCCAGTTCTGGCTAAAACAGAACTTTCTCCACATTAAAAAAGTAATCGAAGACCCTCTTGAACAATTCCTCCTAGGAGGACTTGGTGTGGTCTCTGTGAAAACTGATCTCTTCAAGGAGGAAAGCCAATGGTCATCTCCTCCTCCAGGAGGCTGCTCAAAATTTGGGTTGGGTAAATAAACATATTATTTAGAACCCAATAAAGATGACATTTATGCATAAGATGTATTCTTAAAATTGTTCCTCCAGTTACAGTTTAATCTTTAATTTGTGCTACTTTCCATAATAGTCCTCATTAGATATAAAAGTAGAATGTGGCTATCTAGGAACCTTGGTCTTGGATTAAAGAAGATATAAAATCATTAACCCACACAATACATTATCATCATCAACTTTTCAAACTCTTATTTTTATTCCAGCTTTAACAGTTTCAGCCAATAAAGTGAAAATTTCTAAAAATTTAGAATGAAACATACCAAAGTTAAATAATCAGTTTCTAGCATCTCCATTCACTTACTGTATTGCTTAAAACATAAAACAAATTGTAAAACATTTGTTTATAAACACCCTAAGCTGAACTATCCAGGAACACTGTTTTTCCTCAAAATCTTCTAATTTTTACAAATTCAAATTTTGAATTAAAACTACCAGTTCTTGGAATTTTAGGAAGAACTTCTCAGAGATCAGTGAATATATATGTTGCTAATCCAAACACAACACTAATAAATACGTTTTAACAGAAAGTAGAAATTTTATCTCCAATTCACCTAGAAAATAGAGCTCAAATTCTTCTGACCAAAATTCAGTTCTTAATTTACATGAAACAAACCAATTTCAAGAGGAAAACCTGTATAAAACATCCATATCTTTAATTATTAAATATATTTGTCTCAAGAATCATTCTCATAAATTCTTCAAATCATCAAACTAAAGAAACAAAAATGTATTCTGTAGATTACTCCACTAAAGAAATGGGAACAGCTAGAATATTAAGGTGACTTGCTGAAGGTAATGTGAGTTAAAAGTAAATCTAACATTTGTTCTCAGGCTTTCAAACAGTCATTTTCCTGTCCTAGAAATGATTTAGGAACTTAGAAAATGAATTAGTTTGCTCTACTCTAAATTTTTTTAAATTCTGAAGTGTGTTGTATAAAAAAAATAATAATCTATTCCAAAAACAAATTCTATTCTAATACTTCTCATTTCGGTAAGAATCTGTACTTTCAGTCAAGGAATCTCAGAAATACAGCGCCGGGAGCGGAGATGGGAAACCTTTACAATAATGAGACTACAACTCAGGTGGAGAAATCTTTGGAGTAAGTAAGTTAAAGAATGAGGTATCTGGTGTTCAGTAGTGAGGACTGTGAACATGAATAATCTGGAAAACTGATTCTGATACTCTGCCATCAGGACAAAAATAAAACATAGAAATAGCAACTGTTTTTCAGCAATACATATTTCTCATTGCTTTACATGAAAATGAGAGCCATTCACAACTCAGTAAGATCTCAATAGGGCAAGCACAAAGCACCTATGGCTAAGTTTTCACTGCTTTCAATGCAGTATTTAGAAATATGCCTTGTGTGTTTAGAAACTAAAGAAAACATTCCAAATGGGCTTCCTGTTCTCCACAGTATTAACACTGTTCCATACATATTTCAGAGAAGTTAAAAGATGTCTTTAAAATGTAGCTGAGGGGTGCTTTTGTGATGTATACTAACACATCATAAAAGGGGCCTTTTGTGACAACTGTTGGTAAGGTCAGAGACAACACTCAGAATCTTCTCCAAACTCCCAATTGATTAATGGTGAGTCTTGCTAAAAAATGCAAAAGCCAGAGTTCTAGGTCTCTTAGAACTATAGGAACTAAAAACATACCAACTGCCTAAGTACTCCCTTTTTTTTTTGCAAATATTACTCAAAGAGGTGCACTCATTGCTAGCTAGCATTTGAGGTAGAGGTATTTGAATAAATATCAAAGATTTATTAAATATATTTGTCTCAAGAATCATTCTCATAAATTCTTCAAATCATCAAACTAAAGAAACAAAAATGTATTCTGTAGATTACTCCACTAAAGAAATGGGAACAGCTAGAATATTAAGGTGACTTGCTGAAGGTAATGTGAGTTAAAAGTAAATCTAACAATTTGTTCTCAGGCTTTCAAACAGTCATTTTCCTGTCCTAGAAATGATTTAGGAACTTAGAAAATGAATTAGTTTGCTCTACTCTAAATTTTTTTAAATTCTGAAGTGTGTTGTATAAAAAAAATAATAATCTATTCCAAAAACAAATTCTATTCTAATACTTCTCATTTCGGTAAGAATCTGTACTTTCAGTCAAGGAATCTCAGAAATACAGCGCCGGGAGCGGAGATGGGAAACCTTTACAATAATGAGACTACAACTCAGGTGGAGAAATCTTTGGAGTAAGTAAGTTAAAGAATGAGGTATCTGGTGTTCAGTAGTGAGGACTGTGAACATGAATAATCTGGAAAACTGATTCTGATACTCTGCCATCAGGACAAAAATAAAACATAGAAATAGCAACTGTTTTTCAGCAATACATATTTCTCATTGCTTTACATGAAAATGAGAGCCATTCACAACTCAGTAAGATCTCAATAGGGCAAGCACAAAGCACCTATGGCTAAGTTTTCACTGCTTTCAATGCAGTATTTAGAAATATGCCTTGTGTGTTTAGAAACTAAAGAAAACATTCCAAATGGGCTTCCTGTTCTCCACAGTATTAACACTGTTCCATACATATTTCAGAGAAGTTAAAAGATGTCTTTAAAATGTAGCTGAGGGGTGCTTTTGTGATGTATACTAACACATCATAAAAGGGGCCTTTTGTGACAACTGTTGGTAAGGTCAGAGACAACACTCAGAATCTTCTCCAAACTCCCAATTGATTAATGGTGAGTCTTGCTAAAAAATGCAAAAGCCAGAGTTCTAGGTCTCTTAGAACTATAGGAACTAAAAACATACCAACTGCCTAAGTACTCCCTTTTTTTTTTGCAAATATTACTCAAAGAGGTGCACTCATTGCTAGCTAGCATTTGAGGTAGAGGTATTTGAATAAATATCAAAGAAAAATAGTTTCTTCACAGAAAATTATTTTCATGTACCCAAGAAAGATCAACCATCTGAAAAAAAGATTTTTAACAAATTCAATCAGTTTCAAATGATTGTGGGTTTTATACCATTTGTGCCGTGATCAAAAGAGTTTTGCAGCTCAGCATTTCCAATGACATTCATGTGTAAATCTACTAATCATGTAAGAAAAATGGTCTCCATATTTATAGTCAGCCTCAAGTTAAACCAATAGATTACCTATAAGCCCATTACACAGTGATAGCTTCTGCTAAATTCTTGGATATGTTGACAATAGCTAAGTGCCTTATTTGTTAGAAAATAAAGCTGAGAAATTCTAGAGCAACCATTTTACATTCAAATAGCTTTCATATATTTAGAGTGTGAATCCATGTTTCAAAAGTTATAAATCGTAAGAAATATTATAAGTTCCTCTATATAATACAATAATAAAACAACCCTAAAATATCGTATGGCCAAGATAATAAGTTATGAAATGTGCCAACCAGAAGAGACAGAGAGCAGGCCAGGTATCACATACTTAAGCATCCTGCTCTATCAGACCACTTAGCAGTACTCTAGTGACTTCAGATATGCATCTTGTGCCAAAGGACCATTACTACCACCACTACATCTGGAATCAAGAATCTAGATTGCTCATGAACTTTTTACTAGCAGTCACAAAGTCCACCACCAAAGAGCAGTAACAACATAAAACTTAAAACCCCTAACTTTTATCATCTTGTACTAGCAATGTCCACCATTAAGAGGCATTAGGCTAAGGCTCAAGCTATCATGAGAACTTCCTGGTCTGCTTTAAACCTTAAAGCTAACGGACCCAAGAGAGTAATTGTCAATAGTTACCACAGACCTAATACCAAAACAACAACAAAATTCAAGACAGATATTTACTGTCTCGAACAAATGCTCCAGAACTAAGAATTTATCTGCGTAATGAGTAAGACCAAACAGCAAGTTGTTACCACACTGACCAACTTTTACTTTATCTAAGCTGTTATAAACACAATAAATAATGATCACCATCTGTTCAATATGTAACATGCATAATTACTTTATGAAGTTACAAGTTTTACATAATCCTCATGAACACTCAGATTAGCCCCATTTTATACATAAAGACTGAAACTTAGAGAAGTTGACCTGTCCAAGAACACAGCCAGGAAAGTCAAATCCAAGTTTGACTGGCTCCCAAGCCTCATACTCTTTCCATTCCATCACACTGATTTCCACCCTTCTAGCCTGGGCTCTGCTTTCAGGTCTACATTAAGTGGGAGATAACCAAAGGGCCATTTCTTCCATAATTTTTAATATGGCAGTACTGTAGATGTCAGAAACACTAAAATGGACTTACGTTTTTAAAATCAGAACAAAGTACTGTAAGACAAATCATCCCCTCTCTGAAGGTGACATTGTATCTCTTAACACATAGGAGATAATCTACCATCACTGAGTAACAAGTGACATGAAAACTTAAAAATTTGTTTCTAGTAATGAACTTCCAGTCAAGTCACCGATAAAGAAATCTCTTGAAATGGGTTACAATCCAGTAATGTATCTTGGGTGTTCCAAGGTTCCTATTTTCTTCAACAAGAACTAGACACCTCCAAAAACAAATAATTCAAAAGGTGTGATCCAGATAAGAAATTTCAGAGCTTTCCAAATATACATCCAATCCTCAAATATTCATGCAAGCAGGTGGTTCCAATTCAATAAGTCAAATCCAAAGAAAATTCTCCAATTTCACTTTAAACAAGTGACTTAACTGGGATTCTATCCTTTGCCTTGGCTCTATTGTTAATAAACCTATTGTTAATAAACCTATTGTCCACCTATTGTTAATAAACTATAAAATAGTAAAATAAGCAAAAAGAATATCCCAGAATCCTTCAAACTTGAGGTTCACCGAGACAGACTAAAATTGAAGACTTTAAAGTGGGAAGTAAAGTGTGTGTCCTTTACAGACAAGGAAGCCAGCCCCGAAAGGTAAAACTGACTTCAGTGAGTACTGCCTAACAGTTAAAAACACTAGTTTTATTGCCTTAAAATCTTGGTGCCTCAATTCTTCCACTTAGCAACTACATTAACTAGCATGTAATTTAATCTCTTGAGCCTGCTTTTGCAAATTCAAAATAGGAATAATTCTTACTCCAACAGAGTTGCTATAAAGATTAGACTACATTTAAAAGTAACTGGATGAAGCAATCAACTCTACTGGGATTACCATATAGTCTGTCATTCCAAATTTGGCCCCTCATTCCAAAATTCAGAATGGAGATAGCCATTTATCAAACATAATCATCTGTAACACCTAAGTGGCCTTCAACTACTTATTCTCAAGATGGCAGTTCAAACATAAAAAAGGCTACTTAACGTTTTGCCCAAGGCTAAATTAACAACTAGCTAAGTAAACTTGGATTAGCAACCTTAGCTGGATTTTAGATTGATCATACATGACATGAGAATTCACATGGGTGACCTCTATGGTACTCAACCTAAAATGTTCTAGTTCAATAATAAGCTTTCTAAACAAAACAAAATAAAACCAGGCTCTCATCACTTGGCAATTCACTTCACTACTCAAGAAAAATTTTATTTCCTTAATAGGAAAAATGAAATAAAAATACAAGCTTTATCACAAATAACTTTTTTCCCATAAAAGGCTAAAAACCATTGTACTATTTCTACATAACTGAAGTGTATATTCTCAACCTTGACGGTGGTTCTTCAGATCTCTGGGTCATTCGTTTAGCTGCTCATCACCTTTCCAGAAACCAAAATGGTAGAATACTTACCTTTGTCTCAAAAGTGACCAATGAATGTATTAAAGCATTAATTTTGACCCCACTAGATTACTTCCGAGAGAGTGGGCATAAGAACTAACCCAGGAACATTCCAGGCCAATTTGGAGTAATGGTAATCTTTTCAGGAATTTAAGAACCATGAACACAGTATGTGTTCTGTGATTTGCACACATTTTGGGGAGAGGTTATTTAAATATGGGTTTAAACAAGTCTCCATTTCCTATTTAGCACATACAAACTATATTGGATGTAGGGACAAATTTCCAAGGAAGATAAAGCCAACTGCTGAAAAAAATTTCTTCCCAAAAGTTGTCAAATGTCTTCATTCCTCTTTTTTCGTTGTTAGAAAGAAAAGACTTGCTATAACCCAACTGTTGAGGCTGTTGTCACTAAAGAGAAACAGTTGATACTAGAATAGTCCAACTTCTGGAGATCCAAAGAACAGTACTTGTTAGATTCCTATCAAATGAAACAACTCAGTATGTTGACTTCAAATAACTAATGCTTGCATTTGATCAAGTAACTTTCGATCCAACAAATGATGGTCGTATTCTTTTGGATTAGCAACAAATATTTCACTGATCTCAGCTCTTCAATACAGGGCTCAAGACTCATCCAGTGATACATTCCAAAAAGTAAAGAAGCAAAATACTGGGAGGAAAGGATTTCTGTATTACTATCAAGGAATGAGTTATCTGAGACCTCATTGGCGCTTACAGAATACTTACGAATTTGTATGCAGATATTCAAAGGTTAGCTGAGCTCGATTCAGACTGCTGTAATTTGTGAAAGCCATGAGTGCAATGAGGTCTCCAGTCCTTTACTAAGGAAAAATAACCTTACAGGAGAACAAATTTTCCAGGATTCCTTCCAGTACAGCTTTGGTGAGACTGTACTCCTTACGGTTAAGTGAGGTTACCTACGCTTTACCCAAAATATATTCAAAGAGTCTAAAACTACAGTTGATTTTTCCTTTCAATTTTTTTTCTTATCCTCTCAACAACTATGATGTAGTATTTTGGAAAGAACTACGTCATATAAACCTGTAGTCTAAAGGGGCTTTTAGCGTTGTTACAATAGTTCAATAGCCGAATGTGGAGGTCCTGGAGTAGATGGTACTGCAGTTGGCGATTTTATTATTGTTCCATCTTCATGTTCTTCAGGCCTTTTTTGATCCTCACCTATCCAGAAATGTACCAATTTCTGTCATAAAGCGGGGCAATCACCCATGTCTTCGCCACCAATGATCCTGGAGTCCTTAAACCCGTACCCGATTGGCGACCACGATGTCGGAGTGCAAATGGCGTTAGTTCCGGCTTCACCGCATCCCAGTTGAAAGATCTCCCAAGTGCTGACAGCCGATTTGTTTCCAAAACCCAGAACAAACGCAGCTTGCTGTCCCACCCCAATCTCTTAAGGGTAGCGCGTCAAATGACCTCGCACTGACCCACTAAAACGCCTCAGAACTGACCCGCCCAAATCGCCTTAGGCGGGAGGCGGCCCCTCCCCCAATCCCCTCAGACAGCGGCCTCAGCCGATCAGGCCCTTCCCGGGCCCCGGGCCCGTGGCCGCCTCCTAACGGAGAGGAGTTAGTCCCAGCTCTCAAGCCCTGGATCGAGGGTAGTGGCAAGCGCACCACCCAACCGGGCGTTGCCCAGCGCTCGCAGCTGCCTTTGTCCCTCCCCACGGAATTGGTAACCGACAACCGCAGGGCGCTCTTGGAACCATGTGCTGCCGCCGCCGCTGCCTCCGCCGCTGCCGCCGCCGCCGCCGCCTCCGCGAGACCAGCCGCCCGCGCGCCGCGCTGGAGATGTTGACAGGACTGAGCGTCACGAAATTCGGCGTTTAGGGTTTTTCCGCCACAGCGCCCACAGCCACCGCTTTGTCTTCGCTGGCTCACACAACCTGTGCAGCCTCGCACACTCCCCGACGCCCCAAGTCCCCGAGGCCTCCGCGGCGCATTCGGCCAATCACAGAGCCGCAGATTCTCCCGCCCCCGCTTCGATGCGACGCCTCCGGATTGGTGAGTCGCGTATCTCCACGTGACCGGATCTTGCTTACTGGGCCCGCCCCTATCACGTGAGAGAGCGCCCCTCTCTTCCTGCTTTCCTGACCCACTCCGCCATTTAAAGGAACAGTACCGGGGGCGGGCCGAGCGACGCAGCCGGGACGGTAGCTGCGGCGCGGACCGGAGGAGCCATTTTGTCTCGTCGCCGGGGAGTCAGGCCCCTAGCTCGAAGAAGCCCTGGCGCGCCCTCCCCCCCTCCCCGGTCTGGTAGGGCGAAGGAGCGGGCGCGCGGTCGATCGAGCGATCGGTTGGCGGCTCTTTCTCCTGCTCTGGCATCCAGCTCTTGGGGCGCAGGCCCGGCCGCCGCGGCGCGCGCCCGGTGGCCGTTGGCGCTCGCGCCGAGTCTTTCTTCTCGTACGCAGAACTCGGGCGGCGGCCTATGCGTTTGCGATTCGACGAGGAGTCGTCCGGGTGGTCGGTGGCGGCGGGCAGCTGCTCCGCCCCGCTCCTGGGGAGGCGGCGGCGGCAGGATTTGGCGCGGCTGGGGAGGCGGGGGTGGCTGGGCCCGGCCTGGAGGCCTGGCGCCATCCTTCGGGGCCTGCAAGGACCCAGTTGGGGGGACAAGAGGGGGCCGGGGGATGGTTGGTGGTGGGCTTCCTACTTTGCCTTTTCCTCCTTATGCCGCCTTAGTGAGGGGCGGGAGCTCAGGCGGCAGCTCCGGGGTGGGGAGACGAGCTTCGGAGTCGGAAGAGCTGGGTTTGCTTCCGGGCCTAGCCACCAGCTGGCCGAGTGACCTTAGGCAAATCACTCATTTGCGCCTCAGTTTCCTCCTCTGCCTATCAATGTTTGCGGGGTTTGAAAGCGCTTAGTAAACTAAAGCGTCGGTGTAAGTAAGAGATGATTATCGTTTGTAATGGGTTGTTTGTTTTTCCCGAGTTGTAAGAAAACATAGCAATTGCCCAGTCCTTGGATTCAGAAGCTTGGAATCATGGATTGGAGTTGGAGATCCCCAAACTCCCTGAAATTGTATGCAGAAATTAGTGGGAACGTGCATTTTAGGGGAATGAAGATCCATTCGCCAGCAAGTTCAAAAGGGGCTGGTCATGACCCAGAAGAGTTAAGAACCGCAATTCCTTAATGCCACAGAGAGGAAACTGAGGCCTAGATGTCATTTGGGATCCTTCATAACCAATTTGAAACTCCCGTTCGAATCCCTGGGATATGTGAGATGTTTTCTATGCATAATGGATATTCGGGGTAACAACACTCCATGCTTGGCTTCTGAGTTGACTTTCCTTTCACATGGGGTGCCTGAAGGGTGGCTGATACATATGGTACAAAGGCACCCAATGTAAAGCAGCTAAAACTAGGAATGGATGTGTACTTTAGTGTCAAGAAGGCTACTGAAACTGTGGCCTAACAACTCTTGGCTTTCTGCTGCTTTCCTGGTGCCTGACTACCTTTCTGTTTCATTGACCGTTTTCCACAACCATGGTTGCCATCCATTACTTCTATTTTATATTCCTCGTCTGTGTGGTTGGTAGTGAGCAGGCTTATTTTTAAATGATGCTACCAAGTCCAGCTAATTAATGGTGCAGATGGATTTGTACTAAGCTGTCTCACTGGAATAGAATGAACCAGGCACAGAATTCCTGAAGATGTTTGGGGGTTTGTCTTTATTAACTGAAGGTTACATTCTCTGAAAAATTTTGTTAGAACTTCTGCTGAACCTCAGAATCAGTGGATTTGGAAGTGTTTAGAAGCTTAACTTTTTCCTGGCCTGCTTTGTATTCTATTCTTTTGCAAGTGTGTTACTAAGATGGCTAAAATGCCAGTTTTTGCTTCTTTGTTTAATTGTCAGCTGCTTTTATCCAATTCCAGGCCGTTATCCAGCAAACACTATTGAAATGTTTGAACATTTGGATTTCAAACATTTTTGTTTTATGGAGTGGTGCTTACCAGTGGTACAACTCTAAGCAAGCAAACACAAACACATTTAAATGCATTTTTTCTGGTTAGATGTTAGCCAGTTCTGTTATTTCACACAAAGTCTGAAAAAAATCAGTTGACTTTCCCTTTACTTAAAGGGCAGAGACAAGTGGTCTCACTTCCAGAGAAATGACTGTTTCAGAGAAAAATGTGTTGGTCTTTCAGCTCTTTGGTAATTAAATCTGGATGTACCTCAAAAGAATCTTAAGACTGTGGTGGTAAGATGCTTTCCTCAAGAGAAAGGAGGGAAAAAACAAGTGGAACTCAAAAGCTTGAAATTCTGTGACAAAATAAGAGCACATCCAAGATCGGAGTTGAAAGGGTGTCACTACAGTGTTCTGCAGTAGCTGAAGCAGATGTCTTTCAGCGTAGCCATGGTATGGACCCCAGATTTCCAGATTTTCAAGAAATGAACCTGCGACCTGAAGAGCTTTTCAAGATGTGACAGGAGCTCTGACGCTGGATATTTTTATTTTGAGTTTTGAGACTGTTGACCTTGCTTTGAGAAAAAAGACAACTGAGCACCTACGGCCACCAGCGCTGTTGCTGGGAATTCGAAGACCTTAGTTTCTGTCAGCCCTTCAGTGCAAACTCTGGCAACATTCCATCCCAAGTGAACTACGGTACACGCCATTTTCTTTACCATCCCTGCACTTTTGTTCATGTTCTCTACCCTGGAATGCCTTCCTCTGGTTCTTTTTGTCTTCTACCATTTCTTAGTATCCAACTCAGATGCTTCCTTCTCCACGACTCTCTTAACTTTACCAAAAAAAAAATCTTTTTTAAGTTTTACAACATGTTATTAGATATCTTTTACATATTATATGATGGCTTGTACAGTCGTTATTTGCAGGTATTTGCTCTCTTTGCATATAGCAAACCCCTTAAAGGCAAAGGCCTTGTCTTTATGTATCTTTATCCACACATACTACCAACATAAGATGAAGCATTAATAAAAACAAGGAATTTAGAGAGCAGTCTATCTCAAAATAAGTACTTTACAAGTGTTTGATCACTATGTGGCAACCTAATTACTCTTGGTTAGGAAAATAATCACTGTTGGCCATAACTCTTTATTTCATGTTTTTGTTATTTTTAACTTAAAACTTAAAAAGATTTAGGGAACCCTCAAACACAGAGACAAACTAATATATTCCTTAGAGTATTACAAACAGGTACAAGGACCAGGGCCTTTTTCCCTGCGTACCTTATTCTCTCTCACTCAATCTTGTTGAAATGAAAGTTAAGGACAGCTTTTAAAAGTAGGAGGTTGTAAGAAAATTTGAGGAAGCCATTGGGAAAGGAGGAAGGGCATTATCTCCTTTGCTTTGATATTGGTATATAAACTTAAATATGTGCCACCTGTGGAGCCACTTGTTTGTCCCCCACCAACCACTGCCCAGCAGTCTGAATACAAGTTACTTCTCCAAAGTATGAGACTTAGGGAGGTTCCTGTTCGCTGATTCCCTGAGACAGTTTGTCCTTAAGAGTCAGAAAACAGTCTTTGCCAGAGATCTCTGTTCTTATCGTAAGGCTCTTTTTTTCTCTCATTATCTGCCAACTTCTAAGCCAGGCTTGTCAAGAATTAGTACCCATAGGCAACTGATATGCTACTAGCAGACCCACCCCAGGGTTAAGAGTCCTGTGTAATTCCATAGGTTTGTTTTCACATCTGTTTTGTCCCTGTCCCTTCCAGTCCTGTGCCTCCTGATTGCTGCATGTTTACCTGGACCTTCTGACCACCTTCCTTGTGCTATTCCATCAGCCTGAAGATCTGGTACCTGGATTTTTTCCCATGGTGATTCCTACCACCTTACTACTGAAGAAGACACCATTCCAGTGAACCACTGTGACCCAGAAGGCATTCGGCCATCATGATGTGGCCTTCACCTCTACTTCTGCCCTGTTCTACCCAGATTCATTAAAGTGAAGTCAAATTCCTCAGGCCAAATAGCTGAAGCTATTTTATCTTAACAGAGGCCCAGTTTGTTCCTTGAGTATGCATTTTGTTTCTCCAGTTAAAGCCTTCAGAGACACATAATAAATTTGGACCAGGGGATTATCAACACTGTTCAAAGAATGGCAACACCTTTTTGAGAATGACATTGGACCACACCGTACAATCTTACATGGTTGAAAGTTGTGAAGTGTCTAGGATCCCATCCAGGTCACTGGACCCTGTTCTTTTTCCACTTCAAACCTCTAGTAGCCTACTGAATGAGCAGATACTCTGACCCATTGGGATCAAAACAAAGGCACAGTGAACTCTTCATACCATCTTCTTTGGGATTACTCAGGAACCAGAACTTTACACACGAATCTAAGAAATTCTGCCAAGGAATCCCTTTACTTAACAGCATCTCACAAGCTCCAGTCAGATTCCAGAAAAGGCCTCTTGATACATCCAGGTAGAATCTATATGGTAATTTCTTATGTTTATATAACACTTTATAGTTTCAAAGCACTTTTACATGCATTAATCTGAAAAATAACAATAAATCATAACCCCCTTTTGCAGGGACTTTTAAAAGATGATCCAAGGTGACAGCTACAAAGTTGTAGAGGCCAGGTCTTCTGACTCCCAGTCCAGTTCTCTCCTTAGAGTAACTTAGCCTCTGCTTCACCCAGTGTTAAGATGACTGGAGATTGGGAACCCCAGACAAGTTTCAACTTCCTGATTCAGGAGGTCTTAAATGTAATCTTGTGATAGCTGCTTCTAGACCAGAATTCCGTGGTCGTAGATTGTCCAGTCAACAAAGTACATGTTCATCTAACAGGACTACCCAACATGAAACAAAGCTGCTTGTAGACCTTCTGACAATCTATGGGCTTCTTAAATATGGCCTAATTGATTGTTCATACTGTATTCTTTTTCGTTGTTTTTTTTTTGGTATGTGTTTTAAGTCTTAATAATATTCCTAGACAATCTT